ACTCGTCTTCTTCACTTCTTAGCATGCATGAGAACAGGTGGCAATCGCACTGGCGCCAGGCGCCCGCACAAAGCTCAGAGATATCGTGGCCAAGAGACCACACTTCAGATTCAACTTGCTTCGAATGGCTATCGCGCCTGTGCGCCCTCACAACACCCTGTAGCGTGCGTGGCCACGGAGATCCACGCTGTATCCTTGGCAACCTGTTCGCACGCACGCTACTCTGGATCTCCCTGGATGTCCCACACACGCACACAACGCGCTGCACACTCAAACACAAACACGCATGCTGTAGTCTAACTCTACCCTGGCGCAGCTATGGCTGCTTGCTACCTCTACCACTAACTAGCGGCTATGGCCGCTTCGTCTCCCTTTCCGCCCACTTCTTCCTCGGGCACTCGCAGACCTCCTTGCACAAGTCAGTCAGGCAGCGCTTCCGCACGGCTCACAGTCTGAATGAATGCATAACTGGACGCTGCCTCTTTATTTATACATCAGTTGGTCGCTGGTCTGCTCCTTTCCACCGGGCCTAGGGTGCACACAGTCCCACATGGCACTTGCTGACTGGACAAGGTGCCATGGGACTGGGTACCGCTGACTAGACCTGGTAAGTCCCACTTGCCTACTTGCCCACTTGCCTCCGGACTGCTTCTGAGACTCTCCATGGGGCAGTCCTAGAAGGTTCTAGACCGTCCTACTTGCCCTTTCGGTACTGTCGCAGCTACGACTAAGGTTGGCCCTTCAGATCTACAGAAGCTAAGACCAGACATACGCTACGACTCCAACCCTACAGGTAAGCAGCTCAAACCTACTCAACCCTCATTTGTGCAACAGCCTTAGAGGGACAACTTTAGGGTTTAGTGTTCAAACATTGATGAGACAAACTGTACTGTACAGGGGTTCGGGGCAGGTCTAAGGATCGAGCGCTGGGATCTGCATCTGCTACCGCGAAGGTGAAAACCGTGTCAGAGGAAGTGGGAGAATTAAAGCATTTATGTGAAAACCTCGTACAACAGTGCAACTACTTTGTGATTGGACTCACACAGCCAGGAGAACTCTCACGAACATGAGTCTGGCAGGTTCTGCAGAGACTGCAGTCTACCGTCTTCTCCCCTAAATATCTAGGCTGAAAGTTGGCCCCTAATACAGGCATAATGACCGTACGTTCCATTCGGGGGAAGACGAGACACAGACGTACGATGGAGTGGGGGACCAAGATGTTGGAAAGCGAGAAAAGATTGTGATGATGGGTGTGCTGTGTGTTTGTATTCATAGCAGTGTGGTCCCCACCTCCGACAGAGGTGAGGATGGAAGCTGTATGGGGGCCTTCCAGGTGGCAGGCACCATACAGATGCCTGCCGCTTGGCTTAACCTCACACAAAAGGAATGTGGGGAGGAAACACACACACACACACACACACACACACACACACACACACACACACACACACACACACACACACACACACAACCAGCTCTCTCTGTATGTCCGTGTTTTCCTTTAAGTGCTTTCAGTGTGTCTAAGCAAGAACCTCGAAGAGCGCTAAACAGCTGGTGGCGGCGCACTTGGAGTGCCCGTAGGACTATTAGGGGGGGCACTCTGTTTGTGATGTCCGCGATGCATATAGTCTATGAGTCATGAATCGTGATGACAGACCGTTCGTCGGCGTGGGTTCCTGGCTCAGCAGGTGGTGGTACCCAGCAGTCTGGAGGATTCTACTTATGGTGTGAGTAGGTGATGATGGATTGCTTTGGTCGGTGTTGGATGTGCGGACCACCTCCACTGCTTCACTGCCCACCCGCTTGCCAAGCACTTCCCTGCAGCTTGTCAGTTTGGCGTGTAGGTTGGTGGTTGCCGTGTTCGTCATGTTTCGTGCTTCGCTGCATTGCTGCCTTGCTGCCTTGCTGCCCATGCGTCTGCCTTGTCGACCCGAACGCTTTGTATGTGTGCCATGTTGATCGACCACTGTTGCAGCACCGCTCTGTTCTGTTCTTTGCTGTGCTGCGGCTTTGCTTCCTGTCCGCTCGTGCTGTCATTCCGTGGAGTTAGTTATGGCGCTGCGCAGTTGGGTTGTCTCAGTATAGCATCGTCTTTTGCTTCGCTGAGTTGTTGCCTTATTGCTATGTTCCGCTTGTGATGTTATCTGTGGGCCGTCCCCTTTCAACAAGGGTCGACATTTCAACAAAGGTCAAAATTTCCACAAGGGATCAAACTTTCCACAAGGGGTCAAAATTTCCACAAGGGGTCAAAATTTCCACAAGGGATCAAAATTTCCACAAGGGGTCAAAATTTCAACAAGGGGTTAAACTTTCCACAAGGGTCAAAAGAGGTCCATGACTGAAAGCATCAATATGGGGATTCTGCAGACTGTGAAGGGTTCAGCCTCCCGGGGAGTCAGTGCGACTCCAACGAAACAAAATAATCATCATCATGTCTTCATCTTCTTTTTTTTTCCGTTTTTTGTAACTCTGGTACTTGTATTTTTGGAGTACTTGTACCTTTTTCTTGTCTCCTGGTTGTCGTCTTTTCCCTTCCCTGGATTGTGTACTTGTGTATTGCCTATGGGCCTCGCTGCACTACTCTCGAAATGTGCAAAACGAGACTCTGGTGAATCGTCCGCTAGAATATGGAAAGATACACGGCCATGATTTTTGTCTTTTGTGCATTTCAAGAGTAGTGCAGCGAGGCCCTATGCCCTTCCACCTCCTCCTCCGTGCCCTCCAGCCTATGCGTTGCCTTGCTTCTTTTTCCTTGCTGGCTTCTTGTCTGCTGTTTGTCGTCTTGTCCCTGCCTTGTGCGCCTGTTTGCCTGCTGTTTGCTGTTTCCCCCCCCCCCCCCTTCAGTCGTATACTTGTGTGTTTCTTTTGTTTTCTGTTCTGTCCACTCAAGAGCTATGTCAGAACTGTGTTCAAGTCTTTGCACACACATGGGCATCTCCTTGGAGAGCACTGATCCGAGGGCAACTATGTTGTACTGCAGCTACTGTTATGCGTTTTCACACACACAAACACACACATGCGTCAAATGCATCCTGAGCAGACTGTCGCCGTTCAACCTCCCGAGGAATCGGTGAAAGTCCGACAAAACAGTCTGGCACAATCATGCCTTTTTTTTTTTGTGGATTGGTTTGGACTCGATCGTAAAGCGAGCATGACAAGAACAGAACACAAAGCGAACACACACACACACACACACACACACACACACACACACACAAAAAAAAAAAAAAAAAAAAAAAAAAAAAAAAAAAAAAAAAAAAAAAAAAAAAAAAAAAAAAAAAAAAGCCAAGAAAACACACACACACACACACACACACACACACAAAAAAAAGTCAAGAAAACAAAAGAACTTACCTGTGTATTGCGGCATCAAGGTTCGCATCTAGTGCAGCGATGACCGATGGCATTTGCTCCAGCAGCTGCGTTCGAAGCAGAGACAGAACAGTTGCAGAGGGTTGAAAGTTGAAAAGTGAAACATTTGTGTAAAGGAGTGTGGTCTTAAAGCACTAGTACCTCCAACAGTGTTGGGAAAATCGGTAAAACTGGCGGAGGTTGGAAGCAGAGTCAGCAGACATAAGAGTTGCCATGGGGTTATCCCAAAACGCCTCAAAAATCGGAGGCCAGGACCGACGACGGCTGCCATTGACAAATCTCATCAGCGGCCGTCGTTTCGTTTCGGCCCCTCCTAAAAAAAAAAAAAACAAGGTTGGAGGCCCACCCGAGGCCCGCTATTTTTCCCACTCGGCAAAGGTACTAGTGGCCTTAACAGATCTCATCACTGAAGGTCTTTTAGAACTCTGACCCGTATAGCAACAGCTGCAAGTGAGTCGGCAAAGAAGCGCAAAGATCCGGAAAAAAAAGAGGGGGGGTGCATGCTGCACGTCACGCTACACGTCACCCAGCCCACGTGGTTGAATGATATACACACATGTAACTCTTAGCAAACCCATCAAGAGTTCGAACCCACTATGCGATTCATATTATTGGATTGAAAAGCCAGTAAGAATGGGACGCTGGACCCGGTTTGTTTTCATCTGTTTTTTTCATGATGTAAGGGACGCTGGACCTGGTTTCCAGCAGGCGCAGCTCCCCACCAACAGATGGAGCTTTCAAAAAAAAAAAAAACTATGCAATTCATACAACAAGGTTAGGGGCTACCCTCTTTTTCAAAACGAAACAGAAAAACAGAATTCACTACAGGAAATCTCATTCATGATTCATCCCACAGCTGAGTCCTCACCAAAGGGAGGATTTGAACTCATGACCCCCCTTCGTCAACATCTGCATGTACCATTCAGGATTCGAATTCACTAGGTTTCTCACACCACCACGCATCACCAGAGAGTCAGAGACCCGACCCTGCTATTTAACCGCTGTTCAGGGTTGCATCCCCGCCGACCGGTCGGGCCGACCGCCGACCGTATTGTACCGACCGATCGGGGCTGACCGGTCGGCGGTAGCTGACGGCTCAGAAAACAGTCTTCCTCTGATTTTTTTTTTCTTCTGACTTCGGGTCTGTACTGCGCTTGCTGAGTACAGCCCAAATCCGCTGAGAAACTTTGGTTTCGGGGTGGGGGGGGGTTGGAGCATACCTGCGGCGCAAGTGTGCTGGTCACCGATGCGCAAAAAAAAAGCAAAAGAATAGAAAAAAGAAAAAAAAAACAAAAAAAACAAAACAAAACGGCTGTTATGTGTGAGAACGCGCAAGAGAGAGAGAGAGAGAGAGAGAGAGAGAGAGAGAGAGAGAGAGAGAGAGAGAGAGAGAGAGAGAGAGAGAGAGAGAGAGAGAGGGGGAAAAATGTAAACAAATAGCTCCTTATTAATATTTATTTCAAACCCCCTGCGGGTTATCCGAGAGGGCCCTGCACACAATCAGCAAGGGCCACGTTGCCATGAACGAGGTAGTAATCATAGCCATGCTGAAGGTATGGCACGCCAAGTATATATGCTGTTGATTCAGAGTGGGCCTAAGTAGATTTGAACTACTGACTTTACACTTATCAGGCGTATACTCTAACCAACTGAGTTATAGGCCCATGCTTGGAAAGACTTGAACTCTCAACCCCCAGATCCGTAGTTTGGTGCTCTATCCAATTGAGCTACAAGCACATTCATTCGTCCCTTTCATCTAGGGGTATAGGACATCGCTTTTTCATGGCGAAGACACGGGTTCAAATCCCGTAAGGGATATATATGATATGATATCTATCATATCAAAGGGCCAGGTCAGGCGGGTCACACTACCGAAGCCTGTCAGTTGCATTAATTTAATTAACAAAAAACAAAACCACACATATGCCTACAATGAATGAATCAATTAATTCGTCATGGTAGAGAATCAAAACGACGTACGCAACGTACTCGAGCTTTAAATCAATGTCCTCAAAAGCAGGGAGTATGCCTTCATGTTTCTACAAGAACACCAAAAAAAAACAACTCAGCTGTTGATTCACTTTAAGGTCCGTGTTTCAGCAGTTATGGGAGCACGCGAGTTTCAGGGCAATAGCAGGCCAACTCACCACGTGCTTTCAGGGCTTCCCTCCACTAAAAATGTGCAAAACTAGAATCTTCTGCTAGAACATGGAACCGTACGCCGCCATATGTTTTGTCTTTTGTGCAAGTGGTGACGAGTGAAGCAAGGCCCTTAGGGCCACTTGTCGTAGGAAAAGGAAACAAAAGAAAGAGAGGAATGAATCTTCTGTAGAACATGGAACACATACGCCGCATATGTTTTGTCTTTTGTGCTGGTGACGAGTGGAGCAAGGCCCTTAGGGCCACTGCTCGTAGGAAAAAGAAACGAAAGAAAGAGAGAGCTACGGTAGTAAGTAGTTGTAACTTGTAACCCATAACTGCTCGAAAGCAGACCTGACTTCGGATCCAGAACATATATTGCTGGACTGCTCTTCTTTTATACGAAATTTGCTGAACATCTCTTGAGATGTTGGGACCCTTGCATATGTACTGCTGGGGTCCTCCGCGAAAAAGACTATTCAACAAGGAATACGTGGGCCCTATTTTTTTTTTCTGTGGGGCGGTGCACCATTGGCTACCTCAGCCAGCCTTCTCCAATTTCTTTTTTATATCCTATTTAGTGGGGTGCGTCGCATCACGTGTGCGTGCATGCTTACACGTGCGTTATGTGCCACATGTGCGGAGCTCGCGCGCACGCGATACGCCGCAGGTATGGGTTGGAGTATAGGCGGAGTATAGGGGTGATATAGGGGATATTGGGGGTTTTAATAAGGATGTTGGGGGCGGTTCGGGAGTGTTAGGTTGGTGTGTGCGGGTATTGGGGGCCGCTATGGGGGTGTGGGAGGGGTTATTCGGGGTTCTGGATCCCAAAAACAAAAAAAACAAAAAGTGCGGGGTGCCGATGACCCCCGACTGCTAGGTGCTGACCAGCCGATCGGTCGGCGGGTCGGCAGCCGACCAGTCAAGGGCCGCCGACCGTCGGGGTGTGCAACCCTGCCGCTGTTTAAAAAACTAATATGAATATTTTATTCAAGACTTTTTGCGAGTTTATTTTGTTCGAAATTATTGTATTATTAATTTATTATCTAGGCTACCAGCCAGGCCGCCCGAGTCACCCTATTTTCCTGGGCGGCCAGGCCGTGCAAGGACCACGGAAGGTCCCAGCAAAACCAAAAAGAAAAAAAAAGAAAAAAAACATCCGGAAAAAAACTATGTTATGCAGGCAAATAAACTGAACAACTTTTGCCTCAGGGTCACATGAAATTATTTACCAAATTTAGAGTAAAAGATCATTTTTAAAATATATATATCGTCACAAACAGAACTGCCCAGTAAACCGTAGGCAGAAAGAGAGAAGAGGACAACAAACGAGGGGCTGTGACAAACTGTTTCATTGGAGTTTCACCGACTCATCAGGAAGCTGAACCCTATATATATATATATACAGGGTAACCGACGTTCGGGACGGGCCGAACGCCCAAACCCGAACGCCCGAACGTATGGGACCCCTTGGGGATGCGTTCGGCCGTTCGGGCCGAACGCAATCTGAAAAAAAGATATGTTATGAAGAAAATAAATTAGGCAAGATTTGCCTGAGCATTACATCCAAATTCCTTACCAATTTTGAAATAAAAATAAAATATGAAAATAAAATACAAAAAACAAATACTAATAATAAAAATAACCAAAAAAAAAAAAGAATTAAATTTAGCGAGTGCGTGAGCACGTTTTCGACACCGCCATCTTTGGAGATTTTTCATTTTTTTTTTTGGAATAGCTAAATGCCCTGAAAATTTACAAATGTGTACTTCACATAATGCAAAACCCACTAAAAAAGTTTCAAGAAATAATAAAATTGTTTAGAACCTGAACTAAAGTGAAAACAAAAAGTAAAAAGTGAAAAAAAACTTGGGCGAGCACGTTTTGAGACCGCCATCTTTGGCGATTTTTAATTCTTATTTGGCTGAGCCAAATGACTTGAAAATTTATAGGCATGTACCTCATGTCATAGAGAGCTCGCAAAAAAAAAAAAACAGAAAAAAAAGTTATTTTTTGGCCCCGAAATAATTTTTGGCGGGGGCCGAACGCCATCAAGTTCGGACCCCGTACGGGACCCCGAACGCCTGTACGTACGGAGGTCTGCCTGGGGACCTCCGTACGTACGGGCTGGTGACCATATATATATATATATATATTTCGTCACAAACAGAACTGCCCGGTAAACC